CAAAAAAAAAAAAAAAAAAAAAAAAAAAAAAAACAAGGTCTAATGCTTGAGGCTTTCTATGTACTTGATTTCCTTATTGTTGCAGAACCACTCACCTCTGTCTTCGCTTATTTATTCTTTTGCGCTAATCCTCGGAAAATAAATCTTATTTTTTTGTTTGCATCTGCGTTTCTAAGTTTGATCACTCTATTGATAGAGCTTCAAAAAAAATTTTTTTTTCACAGAGGAAATAATTAAAAATTAAATTAATATTTATTTTTAATAAAATTCGAATACTAATTAAGAGTGTAATTCATCAATAATTTTATTACGCTACGGTGACTACCGATGAGTCACAACTGGCAAATACGATAGAGCTTCAAAATTTGAAAATTAATAGAAAAGAAGATCCAAAAAGCAAACAGAACTCCACCAAGGAAAATTGGTGGCCACAACAGGGGAATGCGATAGAGCTTCAAAATTTGAAAATTAATAGAAAAGAAGATCCAAAGAGCAAACAGAACTACCCAAAGGAAAATTTACCTTACCCAATAATTTATTAATGAGCAGTGCTAGGGGCACTCGCCTCTTGCACTCTCTGGCCAGCACTTCTCCATTCATTGGGCCACGTAAGCTTGTTTCAGCTTTGCAGGGCAACCTCTTACAAACGAGAATAACGTGGCCCAACGTGGCCCAATAAAAGTGAAAGTGTTGGCCTAGCACTCCTTAATAGAAATAAGCCTAAAGTCTAAGGACCAAATGCAAATTACCCACTTTATTTATAATAAACTAGGGCAGTAACAGCCGTATATGAATCTAGAATACAATACTTTCATTATAAACAGCATTGCACCTATATACAACTGGGGTCTGCTACCAGAAAAGGAAATAAAGGGAAATACAGGAAACTGTACAATGCCAATCAATGCTAATCCATACAAAATATTCTTTTGACCATTCCATCCATAATCACCGCCTTATACCATCCATAATCACCGCCCTATACTCCCCCTCAAGTTGGAGCATGAACATCTCGAATGCCCAACTTGGATAGTAATGAGGCAAAGTGTTCACGACCCAAGGCTTTGGTAAATATATCTGCGGGTTGCTGCTTGGACATTACATGTCTGGTAACAAGCTCCCTTGCTTGAAGTCTTTCTCGAATGAAGTGGCAATCTATTTCAATATGCTTTGTCCTTTCGTGAAACACCGGATTATTAGCTATGTGGATGGCAGCTTGGTTATCACAATAAAGAGTCATGGGTTGTTCATGTGGAATACACAAATCAGAGAGCAATGACTTTAGCCAAATCAACTCACTAAGTGTCATTGCCATTGCCCTGTATTCAGCTTCGGCAGAGGACCTAGAGACTATTGCTTGCTTCTTTGATTTCCATGAAATAGGAGAGTTGCCCAAAGAAATAAAGTACCCTGTTGTGGACTGTCGAGTGATCGGACATCCTGCCCAATCCGCATCACAATAAGCTATGAGAGTTAACTGATCTGCTGAAGGTAGCAAAATTCCTTGTCCCGGTGAACCTTTAATGTAGCAGAGCACTTTCATAGCAGCTTCATGGTGCTCTTGTCGCGGGTTTTGCATAAACTGTGTGAGCAATCCAACCGAGTAACATATATTTGGTCTTGTGATTGTCAAGTAGAGTAGTCGCCCAATTAACCTCCTATATTGGGCTGGATCCGTGTGAAGCGGTCCAGTGGCAGAGGACAAGTGATGATTTTGCTCCATTGGAGAGTGGCTTGGGCGAGCTCCGATAACACCAGTTTCATGAAGAATGTCAAGAGCATATTTACGCTGGCTGAATACAATTCCCTCTCTTGTACGAATCACCCCAATTCTAAGAAAATATTTGAGAGGTCCAAGGTCCTTAATTGAAAACCTTGTGTGCAGATATTGTTTCAAGGCTTGAATTCTTGCAGTATCATTCCCTGTAATGATAATGTCATCAACATATATTAAAACAGCAACAAAACTCTGAGCTTTGCTTGAGGTAAACAGTGAGTAGTCAACTCGAGATTGCATAAAGCCAGCAGCCTTAAGAGACTGTGTGAACTTCTCAAACCAATTCCGAGAGGCTTGTTTAAGGCCATATAAAGACTTCCTTAGTCGACAAACCACACTGCCATCCTTACAGGTAAATCCTTGGGGAATCTTCATATAAACTTCCTCATGTAAGTCACCTTGTAAAAATGCATTATTCACATCCAATTGATGGAGTTCCCAATGCTTAATAGCTGCTATTGCAAGGAGAAGCCTTACAGTGACCAGCTTTGCAACTGGAGCATAAGTCTCATGATAATCAAGACCCTCTACTTGGGTAAATCCCTTAGCCACCAGTCTTGCCTTATATCGCTCCACTGTCCCATTTGGCTTGTATTTAATTTTGTGGACCCACTTAGAGTCGATGACCTTCTTCCTTGCAGGCAATTGCTCAAGAGTCCAAGTTCCATTCTGCTCAAGGGCAGTAATTTCTTTCCTCATCGCTTCTCTCCACTTTTCATTCTTAATGGCCTGGTAAAATGACTTAGGCTCATCTATAGAAGTGATGGCCGCAAGATAGGTTAAGTATTTACGAGAGAATGAATCATAAGATAAATGGTTTGAAAGAGGGTAGAGAATACCTGAGTTAGCTGAGTGAAATGGGATCTGTTGAGAGTCGATAGATGGCAGCATGTCACAGACGTAGTCTTGAAAGCGTTTAGCAGCATGTCGTTGGCGTTGTGGCCTAGTGGACTGTGGTACTTCAGGTCCCATATCTTGCATAGAGGTTTCAATGGACTGGTCGGTTTCGATGGTTTGCTCATCTTGAGTAAGTGACACGGGTTCAGTAGATGGCAAGGTTTCAATGGGTTGTGTAGGTTCTTCAAAGATTAATCCT